GAATGTAAGGACTTCTCTGAATCACCATATGCAAATAATAAAAAGGAGTCTATTCTCCCTACTCTTTTCCACTGTGTTCTGGTTAAAATATCTAGACTGTGGTCGTGTAAGAAACTAAACATCTCCAGGGAACTGCAGAGCAAATTTAGAGCACTTAGCACTTCACAGAATCAGCTCCTAACGTAACAAGGGTAAGAAAGAAAGTGATGGAGGTTATCAAAGCAAAAAGGTGATAAGCTCAAAAAATGGTTAAAAGAAAAAAAAAAAAGTACTGTGAAAGAATATTCCTCAGCATTCAGAAATACAGAAAATCAAGAATGAAAAACAGCAGCTAGATTTCTTTGTAGTGTTACCTGCATCTTTTCTTCTTTTCTCCAAAAAAAGTAAGTAGGCAAGTTTGCGTTGTTCTTTATATTCTAAAGGAAGTTATTTTCACTTTTGAATGAAACATTAAAACCTCTAAAGACCTCACTCATTCACCGATGGGAAATGGAAAGCTTCCCTTTCATATATTTCGGAGACAATATTCTTTTTTCTGGAAATGCTGATAAGGAACAAATTCAAACTCATCCTCATCCGCTTGGACCATCTTATTTACTAAAAACAATGGTATCTTTTAAATCCTGTATACTCAGCTATCGGTCAATTTTGATTGACACAAATATTTGTATTAAAGGTTACATACTGCAATTTACAATTGGGTACTATCACAATACGGTATGTTAATGTAATCAGTATTTTCATTTCATTAACTCATTTGCAGCATGACACTGCAAGGGTATTCTTACATATACTGAAGACACAATTACTAAATAGTTCAACAATTCTCCTATAAGTGTTTTTTTTTTTAATCTGATAATTTTTAACACAATAAAACCACTCCTAGTTTTGTGTGTATGTTTTAATTTCCCACCACTTGAAGTGTTCAGATACTTGGAATACCTAGCATACCAAATTAATCCACAAATATTTACAAGAAAAATCTATTTAATTTCTTTCCATAGTAACTACCACAGGGACTATTGTAATGAAAAATTTCCCATCTTAAAGAATTAATGCAATTACTGATATAGAGAAAAAATTTAATTTATATCATCACAAACACGTAAAAGATATAATCCCATATTCACGAAAAGAATCTTCATTCCCTCTTTGAATTCTGAAACAATACAGTCTTGCCTTGAGGAGAACAGAAATATTATGAAGTACCTTAAGCAAGATAATTGTAAGAGAAAAAATACAATTGCGTTATTGTTGTGCTAAACTGTGACATACTTAAAAAGCTAATTTCTTTTATTATAATGGAATTTGGTATGTGTATCCTTTAATCTACTTCACTCTTTTTTTTCTTTTTTTTTTTTTTTTACACACGTGTAAAGTGTTTCCCTTTATCTATATTACCTTGTTTAATGAACTAAATTGTTGTAACGAATTTTAAATAATTAAAAATATATTTAATCACTCTGTAAAGTTCTGGGTCTAACCAAACATCTAGATATATCATAAAAACATGCAGTAAATGAGTTACTGCAACTCAAATATTATACAAGGAGACACCGATATTTTATGAAAATCAAGCATGTGACAAGTCCCGAATTTTCTCAAATGCATTTCAACCAAACTGCTGAAAATTCTACATGAAACTCAAAATTTATCAAACAAAAAATTCTCACAATTAGTGCTTTTTTTCTTGAAAATCCAATATTATCATACTCAAATTATTGAATTCAATTGATTTCCACAGAGAAATTCATCTGCTGTAACTGAGTATTTCTCTGCTTCACAGTTGCAAATTTTTTCACTTGTTCCCCTTTAAAAAGTAAATTTAACAAATCTACCAAGACAAAAAGGATGATCTAATTAGTACTAAGTAATACTTAAAACCTTTCTATATACTACACTGTTCTTGTTACCCTCAACATGCAAGACTTAAATCAAAGTATGAATAATCTGGCACTTGCTATTACTGTTTAAGCATGCAAACTTATATTGTCTGCCTTTGTATTTATCTATCATACACATAAGGATTCAAATTATCAAGATCTTTTCCCGTGAATCTTAGTTAAAGTGCAGGGTCTGCGACATCCTCAAAGGCAAGTAGGCCCATGGCGCTCAGCACAGCTCCCCAGGGCACAGACCCCTGCAAAACTAGTCCAAGACAGTAAAAGAATCTCCCCAGAATGAGCCGAGAAACAAAAATCAGCAGTATTCCTACCCATTTCTATCTGACAGCCAGTCCCACTAGAAAAACTAAATCCTAAACACTATCAGAACCAGCTGGCTTTTCCATGCTTTCCTGTTCTCCTGTACTCACAATGAAGAGATAGAAGATGGTAAGTAATGAAAACGTGTCCTCCGTTTCCTTAAAACTCTTAATTTCTGCTAAAATTGTTTTATTGGTATATCAGTGCTATACTTACTAAGTTCACTTCAAGTATCTGAACAGATATGATATGAAAAAAAAAAGCTAATTATTCAATATTACTCTATTTTATTTAGTTTTTTTTGTAAAATAGGTAGGTAAAAAAAAATTATCAGTTTTCATACAGCAAGCAATTTCATCAGGAATCTTTTCTTATGCTCTTTAGACTCCCCAATTCCTATATATTAAATGCTTTAAGCATGCGCTGGCCTTAAGCATATGCTTAAGAAAGCTTTGCTGTGTTAGGACCTTCTGACTAGTACGCAGGATATTTAGGACTGCTTAAAATATAATCCGTTGAAGTAAGCATGCCCTCTTTTCCACTGCGTATGACCTACTCATGAAATTTATGCCCAAAACAAGAAGATTAGGTGCTAAAATTGAATCATGTTGCGTCAATGTAACGGTAATGCCAAATATACGTCACCCTGTAAATTATGAAGCCACTACAAACAAAATCCCAGGGAAATCAAAAGTCATATCTATTAAAGCAACTACAGTGCCACACAGAGAGGAGACTTTATAATAATTACTCAGGAAATATCATTCTTTCACATTTCTGCCACAAGTGGTCAATTCACATTATTTAGCAATGGCTTACCCATCTTTTAGGCACATAACTTTTTTCTTAATTAGAACAAAGAAAATGCCCAAGGTTCCCCTTTTGCCTAATGTGAAAATAGTTGAAAGAGTTTAAGTCAATTGCATTTTTATAGGAGAAATCAGTATCAGTAAAAAAAAAAAAAAACAAACAAAGCCAAAGCACACTTTTTCCAGCATCATACATATTAACATGCTGTTTATCATCCCAAACTGACAGTGGTCAGATCATTAAATAAAAAGTTTGTAGTTAACATCAGTGTTTTGGAGCCTCCCACTGGCAGCCATCACACAGCTGAAAAGTGAACCATCTGCTCAATGGAGGGTTTATATCCAGGCATCAATGACTATTTTGCTTTAAAAGAAATGAGTATTTCTGAGTTAATATTTTAAATGCAATTTAAAAGATCATAAAGGAAAAGAATCCAGCATTTACTGTGTGTCTCCCAGCAGACTACTTAATGTTCAAACATCTACTATGCAAAGGTCAAATGATTTCACTGAATGTAATGGTGACAAAAATATTCTAAAGCCTTGAAAAAAAATATATATGATGATCAAGGAAAGAGATACGGACCTCAGATCTTGCAAGAGTCACAATAAATATTGTAGATTCAGTTCAATAAGAAAATTGCTAAGCTATGCCAAGAGAACCAGATTAAGATAGATATAATAGATAAAATACAAATCACTTATTTTTGGTCATGTTCTTCATAAAGGAAATACTTTAAAGTAACACAGCCAATGATTTTTTATTAGAAAAACTTTTACACATATACCACTTGTATAGAAATGCAAAAAAAAAAAAAAAAACCCTAAAAAAAACCCCCACATTCACATGGAGAGCCTCTAAGATATCCTGCTCCACATAACAATGTGAATAACTGAACTTATTAACAAAAATTCAATATCAAGAGTTGTGCTAGCTGTAACCTAATAAGGTAAACACGTTGTGCAAATGATGTAGATTATGGATTTTTAGATATGAATGACACACACATACACAGAAAAAAAATTCAAATGCTTACTCAAATTTAACAGCAAAGACTAAGAGATACCTACTTTACTTTACTTTTCATTTTGCTGTGCTTGCAGAGAAGGCCCTGACCCTCACAGCATTCTAAGTTCCAAATGTGCCATATACAAAGCTTGCTGGCAGTCTAGAACCTTGCCTGTTTCCTGGTTCTTCCATGCCAAGATGTCAGGAGCAAGCAAACAGAACTGGAAACAAAAAGTAACAGCCAATCTGTCTCTATGATCCTAATTTGCTATCTCAACAAAACTGGCTGCCCATAGTTCTTGATCTGGAGAGCAAGTGGATCTCTCCATGCAAACACAGAGGAATGTCAAGGGCACAAGACAAAAATATAGCTGAGTGGCAAGTCCAGGAGAGACAGTGAAAAAAAGTCCAAGCAAAAGTAATGCACATAGAGGAATAAGAGAGCGGGAAAACACTACTGACAAAAAAGAAAAAAAAAAAAAAAAAAAAAAAAAAAAAAAAAAAAAAAAAAAAAAAAAAAAAAAAAAAAAAAAAAAAAAAAAGTCAACAGAGGGAAAAGCAGCAAAGAAATATAAGAAGCAAAATACAGGAAAAAAAGGAAATTAAGAGCAGAAGTTCAATGTCATGTCCCCTTTCTGGAAAATAATACTTTTTTTTTTTTTAAATAAAAAGGAGTGGGCTTTTTGTTCTTCTTTCATATATGAATAAACTAATGAGCAAATCTTAACCCATTCTGTATTCTAAAATCTAACATCAATCCTGCATTTTGTTAGCTTACATAGCAACGGCAAAAATAATAAAATACTTTGGTGAGATACTTTAAAAAAATCGGATAGATTCTACAACATTCTACATAGATACTACCCCTAAATATTTCAGAACGTCAGTTTGTCAAAAAAGAACAGTGCAAATGTTACCAATATATCAAGATAAAAATAATAATTTTCACTATTAAGTTACACTAAAAATCATACATACGTTTTTTTCTGTGCTCAACTAGGGCAACAGCCTGCTTAGCCGAGCATTTTGAAAACCAGTTGTCCCCAAGTAGAACAGTGACCTCATTGGTGTGGACAAGTTTTCCTGGCATGAAGGCAAGAGGTCCAAATGGTACCTGTCAAAGGCACAGAGGAAACTGCTGAAAATCACTAACAAAAGTAAAACTAAACATTCATGTCTACTTACAGAGAAAAGTAAAATACAGAGTTAAATGAATTAGAATTCTACAGTGTTGTTTTTTAATGACTAATTGTTCACAAATATTGAAAGGTCTAGATCCATTTGATTTTAGTAGTGCACTTCATAAATCTGAAGATTTTTCTTATGCAAGAATTTGTATTATAATACAAATCATATTATACAATAAGTTGTATTATGAATACAACTTGTATTTAATCAGAAAAACTTGCTTTACAGCATTACACTACTGTATAGCTGAATGCTCATATGGAAAAGAAACTCAGCTTATCCTAACATGTAAGCCTTCGTATAGTAAAATACTGTAACTTCTTTAGCTAAGTTAAATATTTATTACACAAAAAACATAGTCATTTACCAGCAAAAGCAAGCCCAGTTTTGCTAAAATTTCAGAAACATTTGAGAGGTAGGGTCAACTCAACGATCTTTTTTTGCATTATCTGTCTTGCTAATAATACATACCAGAAACCTCAGTTCAAACTTATGAGGCTATGAGCAAGAAACAGCAGGATCACACAAAGTGCTCACTCTCACGCTGTCTTATTTTTCACACGTGTGAAGCTCTCAATCTCCAAGCAATGTTCTACCAACTACATGCACCTCTTCCAACTTCACTCCAGGCATAACTAGTTATACACAAAATCTGAATAATTAGGATAGTGATAAACACATAATTGAAAAGGCTCCTTAAAGTGTGAAACCCACACTTTGATATAGCTTACAATACATGGGATATTATTTTTATGATCCTTTTAAGACACCCTGCAGTCCACATTTTGCTTCAAGTCTACAGGTAAGTCCTAGCACGGAAGAGTAGCCTCACTCTGATCTCACCTGTGCTTCACATACCAATGTCCCCTGAACTTTTACACTATTACAACCCGGCTGCCTTCAGCCTCCAACCTCAGAGAAGTAACAAGGTCAAGAATAAAGTTCATTGGAGGGAGGCAAAAAGCTAAGAAGCAGAGTCAGCTCAAATTCCTCTTATGAAAGAAAGAGATCTATCTTAGTCTAAACATATCTGCTCCTTCTACTTTATTCCCCTGATGTCTTCCTCATTTCCTTGGGATAGCAAACTGCTTTCTTGTCTGATTTTTGCTGAAACAGAGCATTTAGCTCAGCAGTTCTGATTTCTTGGAATGAGATTTTCTCTCACTTATATATCCAGAAAGGTACCTATACTTGATCCTGCTTCTATACTAAGCAGGATCTTAAGGTAAGACTTATGCAGAATTTCTTCTTTCCTGCAAATTTCTTCCTGGTTTTCAAGTATCAGACTGAATCGTTTGCCTGTTCACTCTTCCCCCAAAATGGTGAAAGCAAAATTAAAAACATATGAAAATATTTGGCTAACGGGAAAGGAACTATTTATATACTTTTAAAACAACAGATGTGAATTGACATTGCTGCTTAATCGAAGAATGAACAATATCTATTATTAAGAAAAAGTATTTTCTTGTACACTTTGAAACAACCTGATCATTTTGCTTTATATCATAAGGCCATGAATATACAAATGATCGCAGGATCACATATAAAGTTTGAGCTGAGCCATTAGCACTCGCAAGGGAAACAATCTCTTTAACAACACGTAAGAAGCGTACACCAATACTGTTTTACTAACAACTCTACAGTATACAGGATCAGGTTGCCAGTATGCAAGTAGTTAAGCAGTCTGCGTCTAAATTAGCCGTTCAGTTATTTACAGCGTAACTTCCTCTGCTTTCAAAGATGTATTTTGAATTGGACATTTAAAAAAAGAGTCAAAACAGAGAAGCCAGTTTATCTGGTCAAAATTCTTCTAAGTGTATGCCAACAAGGTAAAGTCTAAACAGGGAGCTGCGCAGTTGCTACAAAAGATTCAGAGAACAAAGATTGCTAAGTCAATGTGAAGATCAGCGAAACAAAATTTAGCAGCACCTTTTCATGTAAAAATCAATGTCCTAGGGTTTATTTCCACGAATGAGAAAATGTTGTGGCCACTTTCTTCTCAGGAAATGACTTAGTACCATAATTCTGTAATAATTATAGTTTTTTCTACAACAGATCTACATATCAAACATATCAGGTTTTGTGTTAGCATTTATGTCATCAGTTCTCAATTGTCAGTAACATTATAACTAACAACAGAGAAAAGAGAAAGAGAAGCAAAGGTTTAATTATCATAATAAATGTAACCATTATTAAGGCCTACATGGCAACCTGAACAACATTCCATTGCTAGCGCAGAAACTTAAGATACTGAAACTTTTAACCCATTATCTTGAATGAACTGCTCTATGCTATACATACCATGATATCGTAAGAAAGTTTATCAGGCAATGTACTGAGTCGTTCTTGAAGAGCATCATAATCACTCTCCACCTTCTTCCTGTTGACAAAATCAAGCTGACTCAATTTCATATTTGAAGCAAACAGTTAATCATTTTCTACTAGTAATTCAACAAACTACTTTATTCATAAACATACAGACTTAGGAGAGATTAGAAATTTGTTTCTAGAAGACTTTGGGGATGGTCAGCTACAAATGTTTTTATTATAAAGTGTCTTAATATAATAATAGCCACATTTTTATTTTAAATTAGACATTCATATCTGAGTTTGAACTTTGTGTGATGCAAAGGAAGAACCAGTTGCTTTCACGGGGCTTTGGCATACCTCAATGTTCAAATTCAACAGTTATACTACCATCAGTATTTAGAAGAAAAACTAAAAAAATCAGTTTATATTTTAGAAGAGGCAAATTCTTCACAGTGTTGTTCTTCATAAAATATTCATATTTTATTTGGGCTGACATTCTGGTTTTCATATGAACTTTGCTCTTACTAACAGTCAATGTTCCTGAAAGATCATTTGACTGCTACAATTTTGCACCCTCTTGAAACACAGACAAGCAATTTAAATGTGGAACATCTATTCTACTGTTGCCTTATGCAAAAAAAAAAAGGTCATATGCTAGGTGGTGAACCTTGATGAACTTGGACAAGTTATTCCCATAGTAGAAACGTGACTCTTCAGAGAACTTTGGAAGATCCAGCATTTTAATTGCTACTGGGATTTTTCTTTGCTTAAAACAAAGAACTAGACTCCTTTTAAAAAAAAACCTTCTTCAAAACATTCATTCTGATGCAGAAAGTCATGGACAACAGTGATTTTGAAGACTGGCAGAAATCAGCTTCTATGAGATGTGCCAGGCATATAAACATCAAATTCAACAATACTGTTTAGTTGCACTTCCAAATAGCACATATACTATATATGGTACTAAATTCTGGAATAGAAGGCAACTTATAGCACAGAGCAGCACACTGAACAGTGGTGACCCAGGATGCAAATTACAGTTTTTCTGAGGATATTCCAGAAAAGCAATGTATAAATCTGCTGAAAAGTGAATGTCATAGTTGAAAAAAACTAATCAAAATATTATCACTTATTTTCTTAAATCTTCTTCTTAGACTCATAAGTGAAATCTTCAGCATTCATTATGAAAGAGTGTGATACCCCAATGTTTTGTCTCATGTACCCACAGTTGAACTTTGCTATAATTACACTGCATTAAGCCTGTAGTATTTAATATCTTAAATTGCTGAATTTGTCCTGAACAAAAGATTTAGTTTTAAATAACCATGACATTAAAACTGTATTCTATATCATCGATCTACAAAAGATGCTTACTTCTTCTTGGGTTTAATTGTTGTTCAGTTTCGCTAACCATTTTGTGCAAGTTTTCTTACTCACTGACCACAAGAAAGTAAAAATATTCCTCACTACCTTGAGAAAAGAACACCAAGCTCATGAATAGTACAAAATTCATCGAGATTCTTGGAGGGAAAGCAATATGATAATTTGCTATTGTAATTACAAGTATTAATTACTTAATAGTAACGTTTACAGAATCCAGTCTTTGCCTGACAGAGATCTGTATTTTTAGAGAAAGGGACAGTGTTGTTGTCATGCTAACTTGCTACTCTTCAAAACAAATGTTCTTTTGAGGGGAAGGAAATTTTTAAAAGCAGCACAGAAGATATGTAAAAGCGTGAATTATTCCATTCTTCCTAACTAGATTTCTGGGAACAACATTCCTTGAGAGAACTGCCTGAAGATCCCTCATCTGCCCCTATACCTCCCTGAAAGCAAATAAATGTCAGCTTATTGAACTAATCCCACTTGCTTTCCACAAAAGGGAGGGAAATCTGTCTGAACAAACCTTAGACAACGTGCATAGGCTTTCATTAGAAAGAGAAGCCTTTACTGCTGCCTTTGCCTTTTGGTTAATAAGCTAACTAAAGAACTTAAAATGAGTTTAAACACAAAGAAAACCTGCAAGTCTATGCTGAGGATTTTCTTTTTTGTTGTTGGCGGTGGCAGGGTTTTTTTGTCAAGTATTAAATTTAGCAAATTTAGTAAAACCAAAACTTATAAAATATAGTGTCTTTACTGAATTTTTGATTTCAAGCATTTAAGAACTAACTCTGCAAACTGTAGAGGACTTCACATTACAACTACGGAAGTTTGAAAGGCTACTGTGTTTGTTTTGTTGCAATTCTGCTTCTGTGATAAATGATTATGTATTTGAAAACTTGAAGTGGAAAAAAATAAAATACTGACAAAAAAACACAAGAAAATCCATACTGAAGGCTTTTTCCATGAATCAGTTACAAAGGGAAGACTCCACAGACAAAGATCAGTATGAAAAATAAGGGTGTTCCCTCCACTTGAAGCAGTATTAAAAGATCTCATCATTTCATGGCTGGAAGTCACTCTACATTTAAAAGATTTCTTCATTTATCTGAGAAAAAGATAGTGTCGTTAAGGTCCAACTGCTGCCCGCTACTGAGTAATCTGATTAGGGTACAGCAGAAATCACTTGCTTCAAATACGGAAGGATTCTATTGCCCCAATTCATCACATTTTCTACTCGGGTAATCTTCGGAAGCAGACTTTCTTATATGGTTATCCACCCTTCCATGGGAGCAAGGTCAATGGAAAAAAATACAGAATGGAAAGTGTTGGGAAACATGGGAAACACCTTCCCCCGTCCGCTGGAACTACTGTCTTTTGCTGATTAAATTTCTACTATGTGAATTTCTGAAAATGCAAGCATCCTAAACTAGACCACTGAGATTAAAAATTAATTTCATTTATTTCATTTTTTGAAAAATTCATTTTCATTAATTTCATAATTAATTTCATTTCATCTTTCCATAGTCAATCCCCACTTCATTCTGCAAATTTCAGCATTTTCTATAAAAGGAAATGAGAATAGTTACAATGGTTTCCCAACTCTTAAAAATTTGCTTGAATTTTTTCAAGTTTTCTGTCAATTAGCTTATTTCTGGAAAATAGTATCTTAATAAAAGAATGCACATGCAGAATGTCACACTATTCTAAATTGGTAAGGGCACTGCATAAACTCCTGAAAAAGTATGTATATTATGGAAATTCTGGCTGACTTAACTACAGCAGCACCAGTAGGCACTTCAATAATATTTCCCTTATTGAAAATTAATGCAGTCTCTGAATTTTAAACATAAAGGAAACATATTAGTTTTAGATTATTTTTTGCAAGCCAATAGTCAGAATTTAATATGATGATGTGTATAGATTGCCTTGATTTTTTTCCTCTTATCCAGTGCTTGCAGCCTATGTGCATTTAAACTAAAAACATTTGATACACACTAAATATAAATTATTTGCTTGGAGATCTTTCAGGCATGAAGAAAAAGCCTCTTAAAATAAATTTAAAATATTATATGCTTGATGGTGTATAACCGAAGGTTTAATCTCACCACTAAAGGGGCAGTTGCTGTGATTCTGCAATAACCCTGCAGACAATAATCAAGACAGCTCCTGTTGTTCTCTCAGTAAAATCATGGTAAACACAGCATGGATATATTGTAATTTGATATCTGTAAGATCAACTGTTATATCTCACAGTAACTCATAATGTAAGATTTCATTCACCATTAAATGTACATTTTCTTCAGATGTCATACAATATTATTATTTACTAAGCATGTTTTCTATTAACTATAGATTACCAACAGAGAAAAAAGTGCCCAGAGATAATTTTTTTTTTTTTTTACACAACAACTCATTTCTTTCTAAGCTTTATACACTAAGGCTATAAACTTGGGGGGAGAGAGGGGCAGGGCATGATGGAGAGGATATATTTTAGTACATGTATGAGGAAAAAAAATAAAAAGGCAAAATTTTTCCTACCTACTCACAATTAAAGAGGAAAAAAAAAATATATAATTTTTTTTTTCCACACTTGGAATACTTTTTCACCAATCAGGCAAAATCAGCATTCATCCCACAAGGTTACTTGGAGAAAAATAACAAATAAGGGTATTTGAAAGAGAATTTAAGCACTAAGGTTCGAGGTATTTAAAGCAACAGGACCAGTGGAAAACATATACTCTTTAGAGGGAGCAAACTGCAAGAATTCCAACCTATCTCTGACTATAAGGCACTAAACATGCTAGCAGAATTTGGCTAACATTAGAATAAATAATAGGACAGTTACTTTACTAAAATCTAAGTAGGTTACTCATTAGTATTTTAAGCATGTAATCAAACATTTTTCACTTACCAGTGCTGGATTTTTTCTTGGCAGCTAGTGACCACCTGTCATTAAAACAGATAACTACTCATGAAAAAACAAGGCTAAGCACACAGCTGCAATGTCAATGCATCACAAACTAGAACAGTAGCTTTACAGATTTGGTCGTGTCTCTATATACATTTTTATTTGTCAGTCTAAAGGCATGTGAATGGTAGTTCTTAAGCTGCACACTTTATCATACACTAATGCAGACTGATAACCACAGAACAAATTACAGCTTTTCAGTTCATATTTTGGTCCAATACCTGCTCCATAACTATTAGGTGACACACGATACAAGATAAGTAGTATTTTCTGCAATCTGCAGATCTATTTTCAGTGTTATATTCTTGTAGAATAAGAAAACAATATGAATTATAACAAGACATCAGTGTAACATCCATATTCACTCATTAGAAAAACAAAAACAAAAGGACCCCAACAGCACCAAAAACATTTTTCCTTTATCAATACATCTACAAATGTTTCCTCTAGCAGCTTTATTCTCAAAAAGCAGAAATGAATTTTGCAATACTTATATGCAAGGACATTTGATACCAGTGTAGGCCATTGCCTTCCTCTCCTTTCTGGGTGGGGGAAAAAAAAGGAAGTTTTGATCTATTCTACTCAAGATACTAAAAATAACTTGCAAAATAAAGAACATTGTTAAAAATTATATACTTTAACTTAATTTTTTAGACTATATGGGTAGCAAACAGGCAAAATGCTGAAACCTGTATCCTTTTCTGCCATAAATATGTGGCTCTCTAAATAACAGTTATCAAAAATATAATAGAAACAATGTCATTCAACTACATTAAGCTCAACAAACCTAAGAGAAATATGTCTAAACATCTTTTCAATGTATGTATCTTTCAGGTTTTTTTTCAAATGTTGTTTTTCCTATAAGCCAAAATAACACTAACCATTGAAAGCAATTAATGAGCAAAGTTGCAGAGAAAACAATAAAATACATTCAAATCTCACTGAAATCATTGGAGCACATATTCTTTTTTACATAACAGAATGAAAGACAATTTATTTTTCTTAGTTAGCATATGTGCAGCTATTGCAGAACAGATTCTAGATCCTGTACATTTACTCATACAGGAACAGAAAAAAGAAATGGGAGTACTTTGTGAGCTAATAATTCTTCAAACAGAACTAAGTACTTAAAGAAAAAGGATCAGTTCTGCATTTGTGGCTGCACTATTTCATAATCCATCAGGAAATTTGGCCAGGTAGCTTGTTCTGCTTAAGCCAAGTTCAAATTTATCATTTGCTTTAAACTCCTATAAATCAAATTCCTATATTTTCCTTAATGTGCAAGCTAACTATTTTTAAGGTTCAGAGTAGAGATACAGACTTCTACAGGATATAAATTCAGAAATCTAATTCATATTATTAATATTAGGCACATTTTAAGAGTAAAGTTTCCCTATGAAGTATAAATCATACAGAGTAGCAATATTTCAGAACAATGTTAACACACAATGGAGAAGAACATCAACAAATACAACAGTCAGAATATTCTATCAGTGTATTTCATTATTTCAGATCTAGCAGTGATTGCAAAGTACATAACATAATTAAGTGCACAAAAATGTTCATGAAATCTTTTAAGAAAGTTCCAGTTTAATTGCCCTATTAAAGATGAAGATGGAAAAAGACAAGAAGCTTTCCATTCCCAATACATGACTCTCCATGCATGAAGTGAGCTAAAAGCACAAAAAGAAAAGCCCTGCAAACCATAAGAGCAGCATGTTCATTAACCTCTACATGAT